CGTGGATCTCGGTTTGTGTGTGGAGTAGGGCCTTCTCTACAACAGAGACTCTGTGAGGAGAGGATCCTCACGCTGGGCCAGGTGGTGGAGGTGTGTGGCATACTTCTGGACAACGCTGCAGGCCTGGCCTCACGTCTGAGCCTCAAGTCAGTCCGGGTGGTCAGCCTCCTGCTGCAGAGCTGGAAACAGCAGCTCAGCCAATCAGAGCTGGCGCTGATCGCTGCTCACTGTAACGGACTGAAGTCTCCAAATGACAATAACTCTTTTCCAGAGATGCAATGTTTTCCTGATCTCAGTTGTGAGGGTTTTTTGTTAAAGTTGGACAATGTTACTGATTTTAAGTTTAGCACCATGTCCAACAAAACATTTTATTATTTGGTGACAAAGGTGCTGAATCAGAGCAGACTCCAGGAGCGAGTGGACACCCGGTGGAGAGCCCATCTGGGCCTGACGGAGGCTCAGAGGCCTGAGTGGAGAGCGCTCTACAAGCCTCCGCTGACTAAGAGGGGTGGGGAACTCCAGTGGAGGATTCTCCACGCTGCGGTAGCTGTAAATGCGTTTGTTTCAGTTATCAACCCTACAGTGTCTGACGCCTGTCCTTTCTGTGTACAGAGGGAAACCATTTTTCATTGTTTTACGGAATGTGGTCGACTCTTTTGTCTTTTTCAGTTACTCACTCAGATGTTGATTTTGTTTAATGTGTTTTTTTCTAAGACAATGTTCATTTTGGGTTGTAGGTACAGCCAGAAGCAAAAGTCAGCTTTTGAATTTGTTGTTGGGGCAGGCTAAAATGGCCATTTACCTCAGCAGGAGGAATAAAGTTGTGGAATCATTGGATACAGGAAGGGGAAAAACCCAACAAGCAGAATTGGGCCCCTTTAAGGCGTGCTTCTGCAGACTGGAGATCTAACGTTTTTTAAATCCTGTTAACAGGAGCAATGCCACCTTTATTAACTGTTTGAACAGTACAATCAGAGTTGTTTGTGTTGAACTCACAGTGAGAGGCTGATGGCACCAAAAGTCCAGCAGAGACTGAAGAGACTGGAACAAACTGTGAACCTGCAGCTGGAAGTCTGCATAGTCACTGTCAAACTGACACACACACACACACACACACACACACACACACACACACACACACACACACACACACACACACACACACACACACACACACACACACACACACACACACACACACACACACACACACACACACACACACACACACACACACACAAATGTTGAATGTTGCTCAACTCTGGCTGCAACACAACATCACTTGTGCGGGAAAATATTTGAATCGTTCAATATTTTTCGGACTTAAGGAAATGGGTAGTTAATCCCTTCTATGTCTTGCAAAAAAAAAAAATATTTAATGGATTTAATTTGTATAATAATTGAATTGTACCTCTAACTTGCGGTGGTCCAGCACGTCGTAGGTCTTGGACGTTGTGGTGGAGACGATGCTCTGGTAGCGAACGTAAATCTTCTCAATGCCCTCCACCTGTAACATAATGTCCATATTGTCTTTTATATCTGCGTCAACAAACTGTCAGGTTACATCAAATCAAATAAATATTTCCTTATCCGAGCAAAAATAGATTAGTTAGCTGCTAAACTTTGAAGCTAAAACGAAATGTGTTTACCTTTTAAAATATTTATGTTGAAAAAAAAGCCACAATATTTCAAAGTTTGAAAAAGAAACACCACTTTGTGGCACGTAAAGCACAAAAGCTTTAACAGATGTTCTTTATATTTTGTGTTGATCGACTAATTTGTAGTGCTGATGTACATATTTATTTTTATGAATTTATTTTTACTTTTGTGCAATGGCTGTTAACCTGCTGCTGATGTAACAGGAATTTCCCAATTTGCCATCAATGAAGTCCATCTATCTCTCAATTTAACAAAAGACTGGGCCACCTTCATGTGTTGCAGAGCAGCCAGGCTCTCCAGTGAAGACGCCATGTCAGCGATCTTCTCCAGACGCCTGCAGAAAGCATCAAACTTCCCGAAGATGTAGTTCTCACTGAAGAGAAGAGGAATACACTGAAGGTCAAATATACTGTTTGTGTTTTAGGGTGAGAGCGTGTGCTTCTGCATGGTGATCACCTGAAGTCAAACTGTCTGCTTTCAGGGTTTTCTCTCAACTTGTCTCTGACCGTCTGGAAGCTTCTCTGGTACTCAGCATTCAGCTTACAGCAGTCTGAGATACGCTGCAGCAGCACTGGCCTGACACACAGAACACACACACAGACACACAGACACAACACACACACAGACACACAGACAAACAATATCATTTATTGATGCAATTTTGAGTCTCTTTTGTAGTCATTTTGTATCTCTTTGTAGTTTTACTTTGTCTCTGTAATGATATTTAGTCTTTTTTTTATTTTCCTGGTCATTATGAGTGTCTTTGTAGTTGTTTTGTGTCTCTGTAGCTCTTTGTAGACAAGAAATGGAAAGTAAAAAATGGGGCAGCTCTTGGTTATCAGTGAGAGATATAACGTGAGACAGGATTCTGATGAGACATGATAACCTGTAGGCTGCAGCAATATGCCTATGAAAATAAGGTAGAAATTGTAGGCTAAAGCTTACGTTAGAAGTTAAAGCCAGTTAGCTAGCTAAAAGTTCGATTAAATAATATGTAAAAAAAGTATCTTTCACACATCTACTGCCGGTCCATTTCATCAGACCTACTTACCTAGAGTAACCTCTACCGCTCCAAGAGTGAGCTGCTCTAAATATCTGAATGGAACATTCCAACATAACCCGAGTTCACTGGTTCACATGACATAGAAGCCATTGAACAAAATCCAGACTATTGAATTAAAATATTGCTATTCTAATAAAAGAGAAAAAGCACCAAATCATTTAAAAATAGGTGTGTCCTAGTCATCCAGTGTAGTAATACAATGCTGATTTGTGACAGAGTGCACTCCGGTGCTCATAGCTAATATTTACAAACACACCTGCAATTATTCAGTTTCCCTTTTTGTAGTAATGTTGTGTACATTTTTTGTTGTAATGCCTCTTTATCATTTTATTCATTTGTTGATGAAGGCCGAGGGTATCCTGTCTGACATTGGTGTAGTCCTCTGTACCTGCTGAGGTCCCAGATGCGGGCCACGCCCTGCGACAGGAAGCTCCTGCAGGTGGTGATCATCTGGTTAGTGACCTTGAGCAGCAGTGAGGTCATCCTCTCTGAAGTGTTGTAGTACTGGGAGATAGTGTGGATCATCCTGATGCTGCTCATCAGACGGGGGATGTGCTCCAGCAACCGGGTCTGTCAGAGCCACAGAGAGAGAGAAGGAAGGTGAAGAGATCAACATTCAATACCAGCTGTTTGCCTGAAGCAACACCATTTTTTTTACACGGCTTTTTCTTGTACAAAACTGACATAAAATGTGGAAGAAAATAAAGAAAGCCATTTAAATGCAATTTATTTTGGTTAAGTACTCTTCGGTTTGAATGAATAGTTCTGCAGGAATTCCATGTTTTGTAAGTACTTACAAAACATGGAGTGTGTGTGTGTGTGTGTGTGTGTGCGCGTGCATGCGTGTGTGTGTGCGTGCGTGCGTGCGTGTGACAAAAGCAAATGGGATGTTTGCATTGTTTTTTTTGCAGAAATAGGCCCCTTGAAGGATATTTACAGGTTTTATTTAGTAGGATATTCTTCAAATAAGGAAACCAGTTTTATAATTTTTGAAGTAAAACGTCAGACAGTATAATGATTAAGAAAATATAAATATGTTCATACACATAAATACATATTCTCACATATAAATTGTTTTGTATTCCACACATTATGGCGGGTAATGTAAACATGGCGCTTACATTAACCAAAATGCAACTATTCTTCTGAGAGTCGTTTGCGAGATTAGATAGCATTTTATTTATTTTGTATGTTCTTGTGTCAGCAACATTTTTGTCTTTAATTTTTTTTTTCTTATGAATAAAGAATTTCCTCAGTATGTACAATGTGTTATTTAATATTCTTTGTTTCCTATGTTCTTGAAAGCTGAATGTAACATTTGTGAAAAGAGATTATCATTATCAACGGGTCACAAAGCAGTGGACATAAAAAGTGTTTTACCGGAGTGCATTTCCCCAGCGGCCCGAAGAACTTGTCCAGCGTGTAGAGGAACTTCACGTTGTCTTTAGCCTCGTTAGCCACAACGGTGATGTCCCCATCCTGACACAAGCAATAAGTCATCATATTAGCAACATCAAGCTAACTGCTGTGACAAAACATTTTCATTTGATTATTTTCAGAAGCTAACCAGCTCTCTCCAGGTGCGTAGAGTTCGGGACTTGGTGACCTGCAAAACCCCCAGAGTCCTTTTCACCTCAGGACGCTTCACCTCCTCCATCAGACTGACACACACACACAGAAACACACACATATTGTAACCACACAACACTTCAAGTGTTAACGAAAACAGGATACTTCATGAGTGAAATTATATTTACCTAAATGATAGACTATTTTTAATAATGTTACAATGGATTAGTTTATATATTGACATTTTAATTTAACTCAGTGAAATTAGATTATTTAAAAAAAATTTGTTTTAAATCAGATAGTGAACTACATTTGCAAGGCTTCTTGGAAATAACAGGACACTTAGAGTAAGATAAATAAATAACATTGCTTTTAGGCAGCCATTTTTTGTTAACTGAAAATTGTGTGGTTCTATACATTTTACAAGATGCAATTATCATGAAGATCCCTATTCAAAGATAAATCTATACAATTGTAAAGTACATTTTCATTTTTATTTTTGTAATAATTGTATTTCAGTCAGCGAGGCAGAGGCAGAGGTAGAGGTAGAGGCAGGCAGTCAGCGAGGCAGAGGTAGAGGTAGAGGTAGAGGCAGGCAGTCAGCGAGGCAGAGGCAGGCAGACCTGGCAGCTTAAATAGAGCGGCATGTTTAGGAGAATGCGTTGGTTGGTTGTAAGAGGGACGAGGTGCGTCACGTGTCAATGTCTCATTGGCTGCTCGAGTTGACTGCCTGAACTAGCTCGCAGGCTTCGCCCCACTCTACTAAAATATATACTTTGGTTTGAAATTACTTTTCTTTCTTCAAAAGGATAATTTATTTATGTTTTAAAACTAATTATATATAGTATTTATTTATTTTATTTGAAATTAGTTAGTTGTGTGTCTAAGTTAAGGGAGATCATCAATAATCCTCTTCGGCTTTTGGCCTCCCTTTGCATATTTCTTTTTCATTCATAACATCTTTTGTGAATGTCTTTTCCTGAGCTAATATTAATCAATCAAACAGCACAGATAAATAAATCATTAGCAGAGTGCTCCTACCTGTTGAAGGTGACCATGCGTCTCTTCCAGTGCTCCAGCTCAGCTGACGGTCCCACGTCGTCCGCCTCCTTCCTGATCTGCTTGCTCTCCGTCAGCACCTGCTTGATCTGATTGGTCCACATGGAGACCACGCCCTCCAGGTGCTCCACCAGCTCGCTGTTATTGGCTGAGGGCAGAGGCACAAGGAGAGGAAGATTTTGGTGCAAGATCATAATGAATCATTCCTCAAATACAAACCAGACATCTGCATTTTAAAATTCCCCTTGATGGCATTTGCGCAGGACATTTGCGCAGGACATGTTGCAAATGTATTATCTTTTCAATTTACACACGGCATCTATTGCACGTCTGTCCGTCCTGGGAGAGGGATCCCTCCTCTGTTGCTCTCCCTGAGGTTTCTCCCATTTTTCCCTTTAAACTGTGGGTTTTCTCTGGAAGTTTTTCCTTGTACGATGTGAGGGTCTAAGGACAGAGGGTGTCGTATTGTCATACTGATATTCTGTACAAACTGTGAAGTCCACTGAGACAAATGTAACATTTGTGATATTGGGCTATATAAATAAACATTGATTGAAACATTGATTGATTGACATTTGCTGTAAAGTATATAGTAGCAACGTTAATAAGCTCTCCGGTCAGTCTCTGCCAGTGTTTAAAAAATGTTTCTGGGTCTCATGTTATTTTGTCCCTAATTATTAAGTTCCATATTCTGATTGTTTTACTGTAACAAGGTTAGTTTTATTTGAAATTATTTTATTTGTGTATCTTTATCTAAAATGGGGAAGAACCTTGATTAGAAATCAGAATATGTATTCCCACCGCTGACCCCCTACCTGCGGCTGTGTAGTCTGCGGGGCAGCTCAGCTGGTGGATGGCCTCAGGAAGGTCCACCTGCTGCAGCTGGAACTGTCTCTCTATGTTGACTCTGGCCGAGCTCAGATTACAGATGAACTGATCCACTGAGGACAGGAAGGACTGGACGTCTGGACAGGAAGTGCCGTCCTGCACCGAGCCCCACGTCTGCACACAGAATGAAGAGCCAGCCGGGAAAATACATGGGGAGGAAAGGTCCAAACGTCAGAGGAAGAGAAGGAGCTAAATCCCCAGTAATGCTATTTCAATTTGTTGTTTAAGGTGCAGTATAGAAATGTGAGTGGCAAACATGAAAACAACCAAATGAAACGCACAATAAATCAATAGAACCACATTCAGATACAAAGAAGTGCAACAGAAGTAGAGGAAAGAAAGTAGGGGGAAACAGTAGAGCTCTGATATGCTCGGATTAGGAAGAAGGATTCAATTGAAGACAAATTAAAGTACCTGTAGTAAATGTACTTAGTTACTTTCAACCTAGCTGGTGTTTACCTGCTGTGAGCGCAGGGCCGGCAGCATGATGTAAGTCAGCAGAGTCTCCACACTGCTCAGGAGGCTGCTGTCTCCGCAGGCCAACATCCCAAAGTTCACCTCCTGAAAACACATCAGGTGCAACATTACACTTGATTATAGCTCTCACGGTAATATAAAACATGTACAAAAAGCTACAGACCTGTTGCACGTTAGCCGTTGTTATGGCCTTGTCGGTGGTTCTCAGGAAGAACAGACACTTCCCCAGTAAACGCTGAAAATAAAAAGCGAGGGACACTGTTTTGAGTTTCATAAAAGATGTCCTTTTATGTTTTGGGTTTTTTCCTTTCATGTAGTGTGTTGTATAGGTCAAATCCACACATTGTACGTGATAGGCTAAGGGGCAGGACATCTCTAAGCGGTTGACCAATCCCAACAGAGCCAGCCAGCTAACCAATCAGAGCAGACAGGGCCCTGGTTTCAGACAGAGGGTGAAAAGAGGTGCTGCAGCACAGGCAGTATGAGAACAATAAAGAGCTTTTTGAACATTGAAGCATGGAGACATGTCACAGGAGAGGCATATGAACGTGAAAATGAGCAAGAGGGTGCCAGAGGTGGGAAGTAGTGAATAAAGTAGCTTTATGTTCAGACATCTGTTTTTCTCCTTGCACACTGTTACTGTTTGGCTGCCAACAAAAGATAGCGGATATTTTTGGGTAAATGTTCAATGTAATTGGATTATTACTCTAATATCATTGACTAGCTGGAACCAAATGGTTAGGCTTGATTAGGATTATGTCAAAATGATGTCTTTTATTAAAACAAACATTAAAACAGTAGTAAAAATTATCACTACATGTGGTTCAGAAACTGTTAAACATGTCATATTTTTGTTCTGGGAATTTGCTCTAATTGAGGATATCTCATCAGTATGAGATGTAGACACACTTTTTACCCAACAGCAAACTGGTTTTAGACTTTTAACATAAAATGCCAACAAGGCCCTTTTTTCTGAATACCAGGTGGAAAAAACAATTACACACTTTTAGATTAGCTACATTTTTACAAATGTATTGCAATTACAGTTTTAAATGCTAAAAGTTTTAAAACTATAAAAACTAAATTAATAATGTATCAGCTCTGTTTGAAAGCATTTAGCTTTTTTCCTTACTGTGAATTGTGCATGCTGAAGGAGTTCCACCAAACAGATCAGCAAACAGGATTTGCTGCCATAGCAACTGAACACAGACTGAAGCGGGGCAGGTATAATCGCTGAGGCTGGACAAAGGAAAACATTCAGCAGGCATTGTGCTGAGCTCGGACTGAAACTAAATATATATTGACAACTGCTCACTCACCTGCATTCATTAAGTTACATCTTTCACTGCACTGGCTGCAGTTATGAACCAAATCAAACCCCCATCCTGTGTGAAGGTACTGTATGGCTGATGATGACGTGAATTTATTCAGGAATCAAGGAACAATGACCCCTCTTACATTTGTGTTCTGTTGTCTGTTAAATATAGAAGACTGCAAAAAACCTCTGGGACATTCTTTCTGGTAAGTTACATTTTTCAACTCTAACTCATGCCTACCTCTGAGCATCCTGTGGTGAGGAAGAGTTTCCTCTGATCTGTAGCGGAGTTTGTTACTTCCACAGAGGACAGATCCTGGAATGAAAGATGGGAAATAAATGATGATAAGAAAGAGAGAGGATGATAAAAAGTAAGAACAGATAAAGGTCAAACTACACACAAAAGTCATGAAAATCAAAATATATATTTAGATTTGCTTCACATCCTGATAGAAGAACATCAGCTTCTTGGACCCGTTTGCAGCAAAGAAATCCTCCACCAGACTGAACTGAAAGAAATACATTATAAATATGACATTTCTGAGTAAAACACTACAGTTTCAGAGCGAGGCGGCGATGCTACCTTGTCGTCAGAGATGAGGGCGTCCTCCACCTCGGCCCCCCCGAGCGTCCCTGCGTCCTCCAGCCTGCTGATCAGGTATCTGTGTCGGGGATCCAGCGCCGCCCGCCGCTCCTCCTTCAGCGCTCTCTGCTGCGTCGCCATCTCTCTCCGCTCCTCACTAGATAACAGCAGCGGCCTTCTGCCGGAAAACTGCAAACAAATGTCACAATTCAATTCAGTAAATTCAGAAATAAAAAATATAAGTTAAGAAATGCAGTCTGATATCATTGCTTTTATTCAACACATTCTTCAAATATTTTAACTACATTTCCCATAATGCAACTCCACACTCAATGCATTTGAAGTAGATTTGGATAGGTTATGTTTTTAGCAGATAATGTATCGAGCAGTAACTCGCTCAACATATTATTGATTCAGACTTGTAAATCTTTAGCCACAACGTCCAAAGGACGCCGTCGAGGCACATTTTTTAACCGTTTAAGTTACGGTTCAAGTTATACAAGCCTATAGAAAGTAAGAAAGAAAGACCAACTAAGTTTGCTTCTTTTGTTCTTTTGTTTGTTGTTTTGTTGCAAATGCACATAGCACAATATCAACACACTGCCAGAGACCAAGCAAGTCATCCAAATGTGAGTAAAACAAATGTGATTGAAGGAAAACATGTTAGAATGGTCTGTTTAAGGCATCCAAGTGGTTTGATAGAAAGCAAAGGAAAGCAGCCGGGGTGACAGGCGGTTAAGTAAAGCTTAGTACGTCAGTTTACATTCAAAATATGTTCGGGCCTACATGTCCTTTCAATATACTGTACATCCATTGCGTACACTTTTAGAAAAATAACGATGATTTCTCCTGGGAGGGATATAATCCTGGATTATGGACGCTGGGTCTCCTTTTAGTCTAATGCAGATTTGAGTTCGATTTTTGCTAATGGCAGATGCAAAAAATATTTTAAGATTATTATTTATTTTTAAGTTATTACAATTGAATTTCACTACAAATTGAAATAAAAAAAATTCCTTTCTTAGAATCTTGCATTTACAGTAGTTCTAGTTAAATCACAGCAGCTCCCTCTGCAGACATTAAAGCTTCGAACCACTTTGACTCACAGAGCTGCTGCTGCTGCTACTGCTGCTGCTGGGGGAGGGGGCAGCAGGCGGAGACATAATGTGATTATTGGCTCTCAGGTTCTGGCCTCCGATTCGCCGATGTCCTCTGCCAGCCACATCTGAAAAATAAATCACATTCACACCATTTTTGTTCTCGTTTTTTTTATTCATTTACTTTAACCATACAATGAATTGAAGTTATAACATCAATAGCAGCCCATTAAATGGTATAAACTTTTTTTAGTTAAATGTAACTAAATGTACCTGCATAAGAACAGAGACAAGCAAAACCTAAATTATGTAAGGGCATTAAATCATGAGAAGTGATACATTATTACTTAAAACCACAGTTAGATTTAGCTTTGGTGTCTAATGTCTAATGTTGCACAAAGTAAGAGGAACAAATAGTACAAATTAAGAGCAAATACTAAAAAAAAAAGAACTGTGCAGTTTATAGATGGTAGTATTGTGGAATACTATGATAGTAGCTGTAATAATAGTTACCAATTACAATAATATTTGTAGTAAAACCTGCAAAAGTACATCAGTAACAATACATCAGGAATATAACTTGTTTTAACTGAATCATAGTTTTTAATTTTAAAGTTAAGTAGCGAGTACATTTGTATTATTATTAGAAAGCAGTGGTGTTTGTAGGTTTGTAATTCACATGCGTTTTAATGCCCACTTTGTCAATGTTTTCAGTTAATGAATCAGTTTGATCTGTACCTCTGCGGAGGTGCAGCAGAGGAGGTTTGGGGTTCATCAGGGCTCCGTCTGCTCCACCTTCCTCCAAGGCTTCCTCGACCTCCTCCTGCCCTCCTGCCTGGAGCTCTGTGTCCGGGGAAGGAGCGCCGCTGTTCAGCCCGGGTTCAGAGCTGCTGCCTGGGGGTACAAGAGGAGACTGCTCCCTCTCAGGGTCTGCCATCTGAGAGGAATTACATAATATTCACACATTATGATTATCTGGCAGCATTTATGGCAGTATTAATGAATATAATATATTATGCCATATAAAGTTGATTCTCATTTCTTATTCAAATTGGAATGCCCCCAAAAAAACCTGTGTCCAGAAACTAATATCCTTAATTTTGTATAAATACTTTTCAAAGTAGGATAGTCAGAAGGAAAGATGATAATTTGCTAAATGAATATGCAAATGAATTTAATCATAGGACTAAGGCATTGCGAAAATGACACAATATAATTAATTAATATAGTTAATTATATTAACAATAAATTACTTGAATTGTGCAGAAAATTATAAAATGAAGTCACATTCTCAGGAGGAGCGGAGAAACATATCATGACACATTACACTTTAGAATAATGGCATAAGAATATGTGATAAAATATTTTCATAACCATCACAATCTTTGTAAAATTGTTTGATAAAAACATTTTTGATAACACAAAAACAAATGTCTAAAACCCAACTTGAACTCAAACATACCCAGAGAAACATTTACAAATATTATCATCTGTATTAACAATGTAAGGTTATAACAAACAAGCTATTTGCATTTATCAGATTCACTGGGTAAAAAGTCCCAATATTGACAGAAATAATAAGACAAAATAATCATTTAAAAACGATATACAGCGCAAAACAATTACGAACCTTCAATCAATGTGGTTTGGACTAAAATCTAGAAATGCCAACATCTCAATTTTTAAATGTTCACCCCATTTCACATTTTAAAAAAGCAGACATGCCCACATGTCCTTGAGCCACAAAGTGAACTTATAGTGTTGACTGACCTGTGAGCCCCGCTGAACAGTCAAAGTCACTGCTGCAAACCAGAGAATTAACTGTGGGAAAAAAGTCAGAGACAGATCTGCAGAGAATTGGGAAAGTAAATTAAAACCGGCTCTGCAAAGCTACAGTTTGGCTGTTGCCTTGGTGACACAGGCAGGGAGGTGTGTGTGTGTGTGTGTGTGTGTGTGTGTGTGTGTGTGTGTGTGTGTGTGTGTGTGTGTGTGTGTGTGTGTGTGTGTGTGTGTTAGTGACTCAGTAACTAAAACACAACAAAAACGGTGTGTGTGTTAACCAATGCAAATAGGCTGTGACCCAACATTGCTTATATTATACCTTTATGAAAAATAATAGATAACGTTAACAAGTACGTGAATGACACAACATTTTGGGGAGAGCATTTCATATTTGCAACATTAAAACAACATAAAACAAATAAAGTCACAATTTAGTAAGACATCTTTTCCTGTTTCTACGTAACGAACTGATCAATGCAATGGAACATTTCTATGAGAGAAAGATAATTAAAACAATATTTGAATACATAACATTTCTGAAGTTATAGTATCCATATCAGGTCATAAGGCTTGTGGCCATAAGAATAAAATATGTTCCAATTTGAATAACATCAAACGATAATAGTACAATTGTTAGAAACCAGAAATAGTTTGAGGTTTTAGAAATGACACTCATTCATACGTGAAGGTTGAACTGTAGAGAGAGACTCAAGACATTCAGATGACGGCTACACCCCATCGTTTGCTTGTAGGCCCAAATTCCTCAATTATCTCCACAAATCTTCATGCTAATTACTACCAAACATGACAGACATTTTTTAGTTGCTAGATATGTTTTTTCAAATAGTGTTCAGATTGGTCAAACAATATAGTAGGTCCGCAGTGACATTCACTGTCTTACTATACTAAGTACTGCAAGCACAACATTCTTTAGTGATCAAACTACAACGTATCTAAGAATATAAACAAAATCAGCAATTGATTGATTAATTTGAAAACGTTATCAACATTTTGAAAAGACAGACATATCAGTTATATAATGGTATCAAATGTGGATTCAGAGATCCAGGGTTTGTTGTTAATGGGCTCCTCTGATTATTGAACCAATTTCACCTAAATCTATAACAATACACCTGAGAAAAGCAAGATGCATCGAGGTTCCCGGTAATTGTCTACCAACATCAGTAGACTATAACCTTATATTTAGTGTTCATGAAATGTATACAAACATTCAAACAATTTAGGCTACAGACGTCACTTTCCATCGACACTATGGATGTACAAAGAGCACTTTTTTTTCATTGCAGGTTTCTGAAATAATGAATGGTTTATGTGAGAGTAAACCTAAAATGTATGCACAAAATCACAAAATCAACTTTTCATTATGTCTTTTTTGGGAAGGGAGATCCGATCACATGTGGTCAAAGACCTAATGCCGGGCGCGAGGTACTCGAGATGTCCGCTTGTATCCTTGCTCAGTCAGAGCTGGAGATGCTTCAATCTCTGTGGATCATCAGGAGAGCCGCTCCTCTCAGGCTTCACCCTTTCTGATCACTCACTCCTCAGTGAGATCACTTCCACCTGGTAAGAGAAGAAGAGATGAATCAGTGTTCATCGACTCCCTTCATTAGCTCTCATGTTCATGTATCAACCCTCACAGACCTGCAGAGACTTAAGACTGAAGTCGAAATACACATAATTAATGCAGAAACAGAGAAATATTCACGGCTCTCTTTAAGGATGGATTTACTGCTGTTAAGATGTCCAAAGCAGAAGCAAGAAGAAGAGAAGAACATCTGCTGTTGTCTGTATGATATCACTTTTACCACTCATCTTTGTATTAATGGCAACAGGAATATAGAACATTGGAACACTTACATTACCATTAGAGTAATGGAGTGTTAGTGAGTCGCTTAGGATAAAAGCATCAGCTAAATAACATGAAAGGTAATTATTAAAAAAAAATATTTGGGCAAAATAAATGTAACGCCTTCTCTTAACCTGTTGAACCCCATGGGCCCTGTTTTTCACGTCTCAGGCTCGAAAATGACATTTCCAGAACAAATTACCATAACTACACTTCTAAAAGGGGAAAATTAATAATCTTTTTTCTCAAAGTAATGATAAACCTGTGAGTTGGATGTAGAAAAGTTAGAATCAATATAGATATTTTGAAGAAAATTCAGATGGAACATAGTAAAAAACTGTAAATTATAGTGTCCGTCCAAAACTTATTTTTTACTTATATTGAAAAATACCCTTGGATATGATAGACTACAAGCTTTTGGAATCCAAAGTACAACATATAATAAGTACCCTGTATCAAGATTGATGCAAAACAAGTGACATTTGACCTTTTTAGAGAGATTTAGCAAAAAAAAACTCCACCTCTGGGGTCATTTGGGTGGAAATGGACGTTTTTGCCGTTTCTCTGGAACCCATTGGTCGATTTTGGTGATTGATCTCTTTTTCAACGTTAGAGCCAATAGAATCGAAGGAGAATTTCCACATGCACACCAACGTTACCGAAAAAAAATTGGGGGCTTCGCGCATGCAGTTTTGCCCAGAGCGAAAGCTGTCTCACGCTCTGAGAAAAACGGAAAAGCAGGTTTATTGTTTATGGATGATCAGAAATCATTTCA